GGGCATAGGTTGAGGGGTACTTGTGCATTTTCCCTTATTTTTTTAAAAAAATTGTTTGGCTTCCTTCTATTAATGTGCATATATGTGGAGTTTTAAAGATTTGAACATTTTAATATAGAAATATAATGATTTTAAAACTTTAATTCTTCGTTTTAATTTCTAATTTGATATATATTTGAAAATTACATAAAAAAAAAGAAAAATGCACAAGTATCCCTTCAACCTATGCCCGAAATCCTAGAGACACACTTATACTATACTAAGGTCCTATTACCCCTGAACTTATTTTATAAGTAATTCTCTACCTTTTTTCGGCCTACGTGGCACTAGCTTGAAAAAAAAGTCAACCAGCGTTGGGCCCCACAAGATAGTGCTTTGTAGGCCCAAAAGGGGTAGAAAATTATTAATAAAAAAAGTTTAGGGGGTAATAGGACCTTAGTATAGTATAAGTGTATCTCTGAGATTTCGTCATAGGTTGAGGAGACACTTGTGCATTATCCTTAAAAAAAAAAGAAGCTTACAAACGCAATGTAACAATTTAAGATATTTTTGAAAAAACATAGTTAAAAAACATAATGAAATTTGGTTGACTCCCTTGTTATTATTGAAATTAAAAAGTTGCATATATTGTTTGAAAATAACGTAAGAACTAAAAAGTATTATGGATCGCAGTAAAATGACAACTAAAAATATGTGATAATCATATAAGAAATTTCGTTTACTTTCCTAAAATCACTTGTATCACATAAAATAAAATAGATGGAGTGACACTCCATATATTATTCGAAAATAACATAAAAAATACTCCATAAATTAACAATTTAAAATATTTTTTTAGAAAACACATAAAAAATTTAGTTGCTCTTTTCAAATTTCATTTGTGTCACATAAACTGGAAGGAAAAAAACTAACATAGAAAAAAACTAACATACGTTGGGTCTGCGCTGGCGCGAGCACATGATATCTAGTATATTTATTATATAGAAGAGTGAAGTGGAGGACGACCAAGGACATAAAATTAATAATATATATTAAATTGAAATTAAAGAAACAAAATGTTATAAAGTAACTTTACAAATAAAAATGGATAGGGTGATATATTTATATTAAAGACGATCAAGAATAAAAATGTAATTTCATATAATAAAAATCTATCAAGAATGAATATTTCTAGAAACGTCTTTCTATATATGAAGTGAATGATGATCAAAGGTAAAAAATGTTACTTCACGCAAACAAAAATCTACCAAGAATGATAACAAGAAAATTAAATAGTTCTAGAAACATCTTTTATTATTCTTAATAGCATTACCTCATTTTTGTTATTTCTTCATTTTTTATGAATATCTATTTATTATATAAAAGTAAATAAATTATTATTACGCTTAGCTCTTAATAATTATATATCAAGTATAATATTAGGTAAAATCAATCAAAATAAAAACTAAAATTTATATGTATATTTAAATTTTGTGTATTGAAATATTTTTTAATTTTATGATCTTAAATATGCTATAAAAAAATTAAAATTCAGAAGTTATTTTCTTTTTCAAATGAAATTAAAGCAAGTTCATATAAATCGAAAAGGATGGAGTCATATATTAAAAATGAAATATAATGATTTGAAAACTTTTATTCTTCATTTTAGTTTCTTATTTGTTATATATATAAAAAAGAATTTTAAAAACACAATGTAACAATTTAAGATATTTTAGAAAAACATAGTTAAAAAACATAATAAAATATGGTTGATTCCCTTATTTTTATTGAAATAAAAAAAATTGCATATATTATTTGAAAATAACGTAAGAACTAAAAAGTATTGTGAGTCACAGTAAAATGACAATTAAAGTATGTGAGAACCATATATAAGAAATTTCGTTGATTTTCCTAAGGTTACTTGTATCATATAAAATGAAACAGATGGAGCAACATATAGTATTCGAAAATGCATAATACATATATTGGACCCTAAACTTGACTTTAAATTTTAACTTTGACCTCCAACTTTCATAATGCACAAACAAACAATTTAACTATCCAACTTTTAAATAAATAAACACATAAGTCCGACACGACAAAATACACGTAGGACGAAAAATGACATGTAGGACATGTGTGTCTATTTGTTCAACTTTATACAAGTTTAAGTGTCTACTTGTGCACACTCAAAATTGAAGGGCATAAATGTGATTCGAAACCAAGTTAAAGAGTATATTTATGTATTATGCCATTCGAAAATGACATGAAAGGTATATAAATTAACAATTAAAAATATTTTTTTAAAAAAACACATATCAAAAAGTTAGTTCATTTTTTCAAATTTCATTTGTGTTATATAAATTGAAAGGAAAAAAACTAACATACGTTGAGCCTGCATCGGCGCGGACACCTGATATGTAGTTTATATACTATTTTTGACATATTAAGAAAACATTGTTGCTATTTTCTATTTTATCCCAAGCATCAATTACTTATTAACTAAAATCAATTACAAGACCTAAATATACATCAATAAATATGTCATATCTAGAAGGTTTTCTAGATTTACGTGAACCCATGTCCTTCTCTCCATATCATATATAGAAATTTATTTATTTTTTAAAAAAGAAAAACTTTTTAAAAATTGAATTAGTTTGGTTCAGTATTCAAGACACACTTTTCAAAATAAAAAACTAAACAATTAATTGAAATTTGATAAAATCGAACCAAAGAGTAGATAGTCCATCTCTAATATTTAGAAATGCATGTTTCTTAAAAAATAATTTTTAAAATTTAAGTACCTATTTTGCCAAAAGTTCTATTTAAGAATATTTCAAAAAAATTTGACCTATGTCGTTTTTGGCCTCATAACTGGACAATTCTTTTTTTGCCAAGAATCCCAAATTTCCAAATACTAGAAAAAACTAGTTTTTGAGAACTTGAGAAATATTTGAAAACTTTAAAAATTTAAAAGTTATCCAAAACTTTTATAGTTTATAACAAATAGCCATCATTTATTACTTTCTACTAATATATCTATATGAATAATTTGTTACTATCTCATCTGTAAAAGTTAGAGTTTTCATTTCAATGATAAATTTAAGAAAAAAGAATAATTTTTTTATTGATTGTAGTCACAACTACAAGACATGAACAACTATGAATTAGACATGCCGATGAAAATAGTAGTTGCTTGTATTGTATTACATAATTTATTGCATAAAAATAAAAGCAATGATGAAATATTCAATGGACATGAACAAGATGATATGATTATTGATGAAGATGACGAACAATCGACTTAGTGTAACAATATTATTCTGTCTTGTCAGTCACCTGATTTGAAGATGAAAGTTTATCGAGAATAGATTGTTCGTAGAATGTAGGAAGATTGTATAAAAAAATAGTTTGTTACAACCTCCTTCAGAGAGGTTGTTATAATTATAACCGAATCAACAACTTCAAATGTACATAAATGTATTGCTCTTGCCTATATTATTATTTTGTTATTGATGATTGCTATCAATTACTAAGATTTTTTTTAACGAAACATATTCATTGTAAACATATAATACAAACATATGAGTTCTCTATTTTTAATAATAGTTTTTAGGACTCATTAGTATAAATGGAATATTTGGGAAAACTTATGGCCGAACAAAGGGTGTTAAGACAAAAATATTCGAAAATTTGGGGTGAAACGCTAGCTAGCCTAAAATTGAAGGTGTGAGCAACAATTTTTTTAACAAAATATATATGCACATAAATATTTGATATTAGGTTTTATATGAACGGCAGTGTCGCTGCGGTTAACTTCGGCGACGTCGTCGGCGATTTCTTTCCTCCTTCTGTCGACGTCGAATTACAGGTTTTCCTTCTATATCTGATTCTTATATTCAGTTGAAAGAAATCCCTAAATCCTTTTCCTAATGTGAAGTGTCAAAATAGTAACTGTGAATTTGCTCACAACAAGTTAAATGCATTGCTATTTGCTATATCAATTCTCAATCTCAATGTTGCAATTATTAGCTAGATCCTTTCGTTCAGATTGTTTTTGTTTTTTCAGATTGAAAGAAGCAGTGATGAAACCACAATCGGCATCTTCTTCACTGAAGAACCCAGTGAAGTTCAGAATGTAACGGCCTTGTTCATCTTTCTCTTCCTTTCACCATACATGTGATGGTATAAGAAATGATTCGTTTCTAATGTTTAACAAGAGTTATATCTAAATTACAGGCCAACAGCTGAGAATCTTGTTCCTATCCGTCTCGACATCGAAATTGATGGCCAAAGATTTAAAGATGCTTTTACTTGGAACCCCAATGGCAAGCTTTTGTCTATTTGGTTTTTTTAACATTTATATAATACAGCAATAAGCAAATGATTTCATGCTTCTGCATTGTACCCTATTAAGAACCTATCTGTTTTCTTGTACTGTTGTTTGATAATTTTATTTAGTATTTTCTCCCAATCAAGTTCCATCTTTTATTCAAAATGCTGAATGTTACCACAGCTCACTTGTATTGTCAAAATGAAAATTTTGGTTTCTGAAGACTTGTTAGCACCCTAAGAGATGCTCTGGTGTGATAAAAATTGGATCTACTATTCCTTGAAATGGATTTATAACTGATGACCTTGGCTGAGTGCTATCTTGAAAAACAAATAGTAATGTTATAGAGCTTATGTTCTGGCAAAAGATGCTTGAACCCTATGCAAACTCTGATATTTGGTGACTTAGTGCTAAATTGTTTTTTCCGATGTGAATGGTTCTGTTGGTCACTTTTAAAGAAGGGAAAATTGTAGTTTACTTTGAACTGAGCGAGCTGTTGTCTATCTTTGAACTTCTAAATTACAGATCCTGACTCAGAGGTGGTGGTGTTTGCGAAGAGAACTGTGAAGGATTTGAAACTTCCTCCTGCTTTTGTCACTCAGATTGCTCAATCCATTCAGGTATTTATAAGAAGTCCTAAAACTGAATGATGAACATTTTGAATTTGGAAAAAGAATAGAGCATGTTATGTACGCCATTCTGTCATCTTCCTCCTGCTTAATGGGATAATTTGTGATTGAATTTTGTGTCTGGGTGGGTGGTGGTGATTAGATCTATAATGCGAGTTGTTAACTTTCTTTTGAAGATTACGTGATTCCTACTCTTCTCCTTGCTGGTTCAAATGAAACAGCCTTCTTAAAAGTCATGTGGCATGGTATTTTGTCTTTATTTGAGATCACTGATAGTGTCTGTTCTGGAATGCTCTTTGTTTCTTCTTAAACTTTTATCTGTACATGCTGAAATCAAGAATCTCTCTCCTCTCCCGACGTGAACAAATTTTGACAATCTTCAGTACCAACAAGCAAATTCTGGTTCAAATAATGTCATCACCTTCCAAAGAGATTCTCTTGCATGGAGCCTTTTAAAAAAAAGATTCTCTTGTATCTAAAGAACCTTAGGTGATTCTTTTTGTCTGCCTAAGCTTTTGTTGACACAGCTACGCGGTAGCTGTGTTGGTGTGAGGTAATAGGTATCATCTGAATAGCACGCCTGGACAACATTGTCATAAAAAAAGATTATATATTGTAGTTGATATCCTTATCCAAAATCTAGAAAATCCATTACATCGCTACATAACGTCGTGAACCTTGAAAGTTATGAAATAGACCTAAGCCTCTGTTGCTAGACATGAAGGAAGCCGACTTTTGGTGATGACTTCCATGAGGGGAAATATGTTGCGTAGCTGGGAAGTCGATGCCATTTTGATGGGACCCAACATATACAGATCCATCATTGGTTGTCAAACCGGTGCCATTTGATAATTGACCAAATGAGCGCAAGGACTAGGAGCATAAAAGTACGGAGAAAAACTCAAACTGCTCCTTGCTAATAGTGAGACATTTGTGTTACTTAAAAGCCATATAGAGGATTATTTTTCTTTTAATTCTTTGGTTTCCTTTTAGATGCGGGAAATCTTATTCCTCCCTTTGAGATGTTTGTAAGTTGCTTTAGAAGGAGCTACTCCTGAGCTGATTTACAAAGAGAATTAGGGAAATCTTCGATATTGAGATCATGATGCATGCATGTTTGGATAGGGCTAATAATTTGAGATGCATCAATGTTGTTGGCTTAAGCTTAAGCAAAAATTGATGGAAGGTGATTGAGAGCCTAACAAGCCTGCTTCACAATAGGGCAATCATTTTTTTATTTATATAAAGCTAGATTTAAATCGTCAGTGCCTGGAACCAGGGTTTATATGCGTAGCCTCATTCATGGGGGAGAGCATTCAAGCAATCTCCTTTCTTCCTCTAGTTGTGCAATTAAATAATACTTGATAGACACTTAAAATTTCCTATTTGGTCGCTTTTGGCTCCTTTAATTACATTGCTAACACTCTAAACGTATTTATGCCATTCACCTATTCTTTTTTTAGAGCTTGGAACTTGATTATATGCTCATTCTCCTTCTTTGGAAAGGGCATTTGAATTGATCTCCTTCTTACTCTAGTAGTACTTTTAAGTACGCTATAGACACTCAAAATTTCCTATATTACCAATTCTGGCTCCTAAAATTACATTGCTAATCACTTCTAACGCATCGAAGGAGAACTGGGCTCACAAATGCTAGAAGTATTGGCTGCTACGAATTCGTCTACAAAGCCAACTCTAAGTATGTAAAACATGAAAGTGACACTTGGCATCATTCAGATCTGTAGGTGGTTCACTAGCCAAACTTTCTGGTAATGTTAATTCCTGAAAAATCTCCTCATCGAGGTCAAACACCATTATTATGTTATTCACCCTCCCCTCTCTAGTTCTCCTGTATGCAGTTTAGTGGAGTTTCTCACAAACCACAAGTTGTTTCCAGAAGTACTCCACAATACCAATGTCTCGAAGAAAGCCATCAAATTCCTGAATTAAGTGCATATATCTCAGCCTTAGGCGGTACCAAGTACCGATCGTCACCATGAGCATAGGTCATCCTCACAACCTTGTAATCTCTCATTTTAATTGCAAAGCCAAATCCAAAGATAGACATATAAGTCCCTAAGTTGTCAAAACAAAGATGAGGCTTTGGAATTTGTGAGGGTGAGACGGCTGTCGACTGACTTTCCTAGGGTTCCAAAGTACCAAAAGATTTCTTTACCCAAATAAATCATCTTACCGAGGAATCCGTTGCATATACCCACAATCCTATAATAGTATCGCACTATAACACTGAAAGGGCTCTTATTCTTACTTTAGTTTCAATACTGGGTAATGCATCAGTAGGTTGAATAATATTTTTCCTTCCTTTGAGCTTTTGAGAAGTACCTAACTATTTTACCAGTTGGAGGTTTTGAAAGAACAGTGTGTTTGGTGTGCAACCATATGAATTATGTGCTTGAAATTAGGGTTGCATGATTTTGATACACACCTAAATTGGAGTAGAGATCCGGGTTGGAGCCTTGATAAGATTTGAACCATCCTTTCTTCAGGTATATAGGTTGATAATGTCTTGGGGTATGAAATTGAAAATGTTGTTACTTTTACCGCTTAATTTTCTATTGTTTGAGAAGAAAGGTTGGGTAGGGGAGAGGGAGCTCTTGAGAGCAAGGCTCACTGGGTGTGAAGTATTGCTAGTGAAAGGAGCTTCCAAAGCAAGTTGATGGCAAAAAGTTAAGAGAATGCTCTATTTTATATTGGGTAAATAGAGCAAAGACAAGACTTTATACCTGAAATAGTAAATGCATGCTAATCCTGAAATTTATTTACTTGCTCAAGATCTCCTCTCACATTTGGAAGGTAGGAGTGCACATTTTTGTGCATTGAAGCAGGTTAATTATTGCGGTTCAAACTTTTATTGACTTACTGAAGGAAAAAAGGAAGATTCCAATTAATCATTTGGCGAGTATCATCTGGTTGACCTTGGAAAATCAAATACCTAAATATATAATTTTATCACTTATGGTAAGTTGTTTTTATAAGTTGGTAAGTAAGCTGATATAGTGATGCCTGCTTATGTCAATGAAAGTAATGAATTGAAATACATAAAAGTAACAAATTGAATTTGGACTACTTACCTTGCAGTCAAGAGGAATACATTTACTTCTGTTGTAAATAACCCCTAATGTTAGTGTTTTGTTTTATATATGTCCATCGACCCTGTTCAGCCTTTGGCTCTTAGGATCCTCCACCATTATAAGCCTATGTCTCAGATATGTCCCTTCTACTAATGATTTCCTACTGGAAAAATCGGTCTAGTTGTGTAGGTATATATTTTAACCTTTTCAATGTTTAGGAGCTTGCTTCAAATTATTGTAGCGGGTATATAACTAATTTGATAGTTAGGGGTAATCTTTGTTTTGTTTTTGTAGCTCCAATGTGGCAAATGTCAGAGCTAAGCTACATAACCCTTTGATTGAGGGGCCAAATATGTGACAAAATTGATTTTGTGGGGGCTTTTATGGAACAAAAGCTAAGCGAAGGACAAATGTAAGACAAATTGAATACTTCAGGTGGTTAATTTGAACTCTCTTGCAAAAAAGAGCCAACTATCAGGATGTATAAAAACAAGAAGTTTACTGCAAATTAGCTAATTTAATCATTTAACCATGCTTAGCCACGAAAAGTTACCTTGGGAAGAAAAGATTGTTTTCAATGGGTATGTTGGAATTCATCGATAAGACATAGACGAAGCAATATGCAAATTTAGAGGAAGATCAGAGGTGGATTGGAATCAAAAATCACAGTTGAAAAGTTTCTCAATGACGTATGTATTTCATGCACATGTATACATGGATGTATAGATGGATGTATAGGGGGATACACAGGAGCTACTCATTTGATACATATGGTCATATGGGATGCACAAATGATTCACAGGGATACACAAGAGATACATATCTCATTTTCTTCTATATTCGTCTTCTACATCGAAATAGGCTCAAATTGTAATTCAGATCTCCTCTAATCATCCCAAATGAGATTTTAAACTCTTTGAGATGTACCAAATCTAGTCTAACAGCCACTCGGAACAAATTCCAATTTCGGAAATTTAAATTTTCAAAATCAAGCTTGAACAAGTTTTAATGGCTAACATAGAGTTCACCTCATCTTCTTCACTTCCCAGGCAATCAATCTCTGTCCTATGTTTAAAAGTAACTCCAAAAGCCGTACCCTATCTATTGCAACAACACCTTTCCAACAAAATTCAATTTTGGAAAATCAAATTTCCTTGCTAAACTTAGTCAATGTCGTGGCACTATTATGCATAATCAATATTATATATCCCAATTCCGGAGTCCAGGGTTTAGTTTGTGTGGGACTAAGACAGACTACTTGGAGTGCAAGTTGAGTGACGTAACTCACTAGGCAAATTTGGATAAATGACCAAAAGGCTGTTCATAAGACGTTAACGTAAGTCTTTAGAGTACTACAAAACACTAAATTTTGGAGAAACCTCAATTGTGTTCTTCCATTGATGTAGGAACTTTCATCTAGACTCACCTGTGGCATAGTATGTAGGTCCCCTGGCTATAAATGTGATTCAACAATATATTCCCTTATGTCCTTCGGCTATAAAATTTTATTTTCTGGCTATTTCTTGTTTACCATCTTAAAAAAAATTCCTTCATATCTGCTATTCCTTTTTCTGGATAACAACTTGGTGTTGCTCTAGTGTCTGGTGATCTCTGTTGTAAAATGGCTAGTTAGTACATGCTTTTTTTCTGTTGTTTATTGCAACTTTAGTCTTATTGGCTTCTCCACTTCCAATTTTGTAGTCACAGTTGACAGAATTTCGGTCATATGAAGGACAAGATATGCACACTGGCGAGAAAGTTGTTCCCATCAAGGTGTCGCATTTGTTTTTTGTTGATATTGATGACATTACGTTGAAAGATTATTCATACCAAAAGAAAATCAATGTGAAAGAGACCTATCTTACTGATTTTGGTGGTCTCAACTGTCGATGGTTCATCATTATATTTAGGTACTTATATTTATCTATTTCCCTTTCTTTTCCGGGCTCATCCAGCTTGACCTCCGAGTAAATCACACAGTTATCAAGGACCACTTTTTTTGGGTAAGTTTTTGGATGTCTCATTCGTCATCTATCTTGCTTTGGTAAGAGTTGTGATCAAATTAGCAACTACTCTGCCTCATTTGTTGCTAATTAATCAATGAGGAATAAAATAATTTCAGGACATGAACAATTTTGAGAGTGATCCTGAAGAATTTGCACGAACATTTTGTGAAGATATGAAAATTGAAGACCCAGAAGTTGGAGTAAGCTCTATTTTCCTTTATGTTGGTTTAGAATAAAAATAGTGTTTGTGTTTCCATCCCATAAAATTATCATTTGTTATTGCATATTCTTGTGATGTTCATCATACATATATACTTCTAAGTTATGTGGTGATGAAGTTAAGGGGGTGCTCTTCTATACTAATTTCTTTTCCCATTCTTGTTTGATTCTTTTTTGGATATCAGCCAACTGTATTTTCCAAAGTTACAATGTTCATTATCTAGCCATACCTTTAATTACTCCACTTTCAATTGTCAAACCACTCCAAATATTGCCTCTACCACAAAAGTACTATTCCCGTCAATGGGGTAACTAACCTTAAAAAGATAACACGTTCATGAAGTCCTTCAAAACCATTGTTAAAATTCATCATTCAAATATCCTCAAAACGCATCATCGAGCCATTACCTTACATTAACCCTTTCAAATCGTTGAACATCTTGAATTTGACCACATATTTTTTTCATAAGTCTATCACTTCTGAGCCAAATCTAACCTCCAATCCATACACTGCTCCAACTATTTGCATGAGGAACTATGCACGAATCATCACATAAGTGGAGAGAGAATGGAATGAAGCCATTAAAATTAGAACGGACAAAGGATGCACAATAGAGAATCAAGAAGTGAAGGTTTTTCCTAAAAGTCACCATAGCCTCTCGAAGATAAATATAAATGTCTATGTATCAATCCTCGAAACTCTATTTCAACTCGGCCTATATACACGTAAGACATATGAACCTAGTCCTTGACACCATTTGTCACGACCCAAAAATGAATGTGATGACACTCGACAAGTAAGTCTAAAATGCTAAAATCACAAATTATGTGGAAGTAAGACATTGAAATCTTAAAATATCACAAGTACGGATAACTAAGTCAACTTAATAAAACCCCAAAACCTTGTTGTTACGTGTACAAGTCTTTAATGTGTTATAATTGATTCAAAGAAAAAAAAATACAAGTCTCAAATAACATTTTTTCTAGAATAGAATAAGATCATAAATAGGAGAAAGATTGTCCGCTGAGATGACAACAACCTTACAAATCTCCATAGGAAGTCTCGGAAAAATAAGAGAATAGAAAGTATCACAAAGATTCGGGCTCGTAACCTACAAAAATGTAGAAATAAGGGGTGAGTGCAAAACCATACGATACTCAGCAAGTAAACTTCTAAACACAAGCTAAGGGAATAGAATACAAGTACTCTACCATCCCAACCGAACCTCCAAAACTACAACCCGCATAAAATCAGCCCAACCCTAACAGTTCACTATTTACAGAACTCACCAGCTTAACAAAAGATTTAACAATTACATATCCTCAACATCAACAACACACAAGATCAAGTTCATCAATGATAAAGATGTGCAATCATTTTAAAAAAATTATAAAGATGTGCAATGCAATGTCAATTGTAGTGATGCATGTCTGACCTATACAGACCCACTGTCTCTTATTTCGGGATCCACGGGGAACATATTTTTCCATGCATTCATCCACGACGTGCGACACGACCCTCCTCGTTAATCTTGTTAATAAAATTTGTCGCGGTGCACGACACGTCTCTCGAAATGGTACATCCTTTTTGATTTCTTATCTTTCCTCAATTCACACAACACTTATCACAACCATGTCTCAAAACCAATGCAAGTGAAATGTTCATACAAATAATGAGGAAATAACCATTTTCATAAAAATGCACGACAACACAATCGTGATACAACATCAACAATTAATCAATAAATCTTTCAAACTATTCTCGACACATCACACACCAATAATTAATTATATTGCCTTTTACTACCCTTTTTCATCATTAAAATTATTCAATATGGATAAGTCAAACCATCACCAAATTCCCATTACATCCCAACACATACCACCAGGAATACACGATTCTATACACTTAACAATGGTTTAGAAATTCACTTGCCTCAAATAATCGAATAATTACTTTGAGACTTTTGTCTTCCCTTTCATAAAGCTTCAAAGTGCTTTCAACTCATCAAATACACAATTCTCATAAGAATACGAGTCTAATGACGCCCACATTACTATATTTAGTTTTGGCTTGAAAATTGGGTTGAATTTAAAATTTTCTTTCAGATTAGGTTTGCCCATAAATTTTGCATGCGGATTTATTTTATCATGGGTAAAAATAATCTGAAAGATAATTTCAAATTCGAATTTGGTGGCTCTGAATGACTTTTGAGCCGAAACTAAAAATATAGTATGTGAGTTTCACTAGATTTGTATTTTTATGTGTATTATGTATTTGATAGATAGGAAGCACCTTTGAGGCTCTATGAAAGGGGAAGACTCAAGTCTTGAAGTAATTACTCGATTATTTGAGGTGAGTGAATTTCTAAACCCTTCTTAAGTGTATAGAATCATGTATCTCCTTGTGGTATGTGTTGGGATGTAATGAGACTTGGTGATGGTTTGACTTGTCCATATTAAATAACTCTAATGATGAAAACTTATTGATTAATTATTGGTTTGTGAGTGAATTTCTAAACCCTTCTTAAGTGTATAGAATCATGTATCTCCTTGTGGTATGTGTTGGGATGTAATGAGACTTGGTGATGGTTTAACTTGTCCATTTTGAATAACTCTAATGATGAAAACTTATTGGTTATCCAAACTTGTGATATTTTGAGATTTCAGTGTCTTACTTCCGCGTAGTTTGTGATATTTGGATTTTAGGCTGACTTGTCGAGTGCCATTATATCCATTTTTAGGTCGTGACAACCTCCCTCCGGTTTTGGTTTTATCAATAGGGGAGGATTGATGAAGGGGAATCATAAAATTAAAATGCCATTAGGTCTCATTTCTTGATAGTCTCATGATGGAAATTTTAGGAAAATGCACAGTTCCTTAATCAAGAAAGTGACCTAGTTTTCTTCAATGCTGAATTATTTGACAAAAATATGCTGTCAAATAATTTTAACTTTGTTAGACCATTGACAGAGCTAATGAGAATACAAGGAATTAGTTACCTACTTTTTATATTTTGTTAGTTAAAGTTCGAATAGCCCTATAATTGGAACTGGACGACATGCATTAGGGATGTTAAAACCTCTCAATATTGTAGTCCTTTGTATTTATGTGTTAAAAGATTTACATATATGTTCATGTATAAGTAAACTCTCGACATATAATAGTTCCAAATTGAATCTCATTAGAAAGAGGATCTTTTGTGTCGTGGTAGCCTGCTCCAGTCCCCTTAAAAAACATTTGTTATTAGGTTAACCATAGAGAGGGAGAGCAGAGCTTTTGATTCTTTCATGTTTCCAAAGAGTTGAACAACGGGGTTTTTAATGTCCTGAAAGATTTGAACAATGAAAGTAGATGGTCAGTGACTGATTATTACGTAGCTCAGTATCTAAATGAGATTTTCTCCCAATATTATCCCATCAAGAGACACATTTTTCTGTAGTTGTAGCTTCTTGTACACCAGTAAATTGTAGTTGTGTTACTTTCTCACCTTTTACTCCTAGAAAACAGTCATGGGTAATTGCTTAATTTAATTAAGCTGGTGTTTTACTTACATCCTAGACAAGCTGTTCAACTATTTGAGACTGTCATTTTTCAGTATCCTTTTTTATTTTAAAAAACTGGGTATGCTTTCTTCTTGATAGTTGTCTCCTTTTTTTGTAGCCTGCAATTGCCATAGCAATTAGAGAACAGCTTTATGAGGTGAGAATATATCATTCATTTGGCATACATGACCTAATTGTTTCTACCTGCATTCCAACTATGTGTTCATAGTTGAAAGCCAGCCACTTCAAGGTCTTTTGACTATCTTGGGCATTTAACTTTTCAGATTGCAAAGCAAAGTGTCGCATCCGCGAGAGAAAGCAGGGCTAATAAGAAAGGACGCAGAGGAATGGAACATCCCTCAGCCAGGTTTGTGTCATTAAGCTATGCTTTTTATGTTGATCTTGTTAATCAAATCACAGATCTTCCTTTACATTATCCTCGGTACATCTCTTTCCTCATAATTATCTTTTTGACAGTAAAGTAGGTTTGCCTGCACTGGACCTGGGCAAGCTATTTAGCATAAAATCAAGTGTCGTCCGGTACCACTCTTGCTTTTTCTTAATATTCCACTCATAAAAGCCAAATCGAAACTAGGATTTTTGTATCTGTATTTCAATTCAATCATATCTCATTTCATACATTTCAATTGTGACTGTTCTCAGGAAGAAGAGGGACGCTGATGCATATGAACCAATTGTCGATCACCTGTCAAATGAAGAGGTGGATGCCCTCGAGGCTAAGGAAGAGAGGTCTGCTCGGTGATTCAGACAATGTCTGTTGGAATGGGTACCAGCAGTGTAAAGGGGAACTTGTTTAAAGTTTTAGAATGATCCTAGTCGTAGTATAAGCCAAAATCCCGTGTTGTAGATAATGTTCAGATTTTTGCATTAATCTGGAGATCACAGTTACTTCTGTTTATCAAAAGGAAATATGGAACAGCACTTCTGTGCTAATCTATAAGTTGTTTCTCCTACTTCTATGGTTTTGTTGGATTACAAAAGATGGAAAAGAAACTTGTTGATGGACTTGGTTAAGGCTGGGGCAGCTGTGTGCTATACCATCCTCATTTCCAAGTCTGTTGGCCAAAGTTCCCATATCTACTTGATATTGGTATCATAGTCTTTCATTAATCTCAAATGGATTTGTGAGTTTTCGTTTAAGCTCCTGATCCACGCTCTAGTCAGGCCTGATAGAGTTCTACCAGCGTCCTTCTAGTGCTGGTCAGGCCCTGCCTTTCTCTTATGATATTTCTTTTCCCTTACTTCAACAGCCAAACAGATTCAGTATGTAGGAGTGCCCAGAATCACATGGACGGAAGAGGAAGTAGACAGAATGAATGTGATTGAGAATCTACAGTATGCTATTATTGGCAAATTTTCATATGGTTGGCCTGACCTCGTTGATTTCAGTATGCAAATACCTAAACAACTAAAGGTCATTGGTGATAGTAGTATTGGTTTATTTAGGAATAGACATATTAATTCGATTAAGCTGCATGGATGAATATGTTAATATGATGTCTAAGAATGCTAATTACATAGTTGCTGAAATTGGTTATGCATATCAAATGCATCCTTTGATTTATGATGCCAAATTCAAGCCAGAGGAAGAATCCACTCAAGCCATGGCTTGGATTTCTTTTCCAGATTTGCTACAAGCTTTATTTTAACTAGATTCAGCTGTGGGCAAATCACTACATCTGGACATGGAAACAATTAATAAGACGCGTCCTAGTTGTGCAAGACTTAAAAGTTCAAGTGGACCTAATGGGCAATGGCTAACCTTCCTTAGCGGGTGGAAAAAGAGGTCATAAACCCTGAAACGAAGAACACAAGGTTTGAGAAGATGAAGATTCAGTATGATTTCTTGTCTAAAGATTGTCAAACGTGCAAGTTACAAGGTCATAATGAAGAAGAATGTAGAACACTTCATCCTAAATGAAAGCATGATAAAATTCAAGAGCGTCAAGAGAAAGGCGAGATTCCTCGGCAGCAAATACATGGAAGAAACTTCCTATACAACATAAGACATAAGAGATTTGTCAAAAGATAGTGCTCAACTCAGAAAGTATTCATAATGGAAAAAACTGGACATAATCATGTTGTTCCTAAAGCAACTCCTAATGGCATGAGGGGGTGGTGACTTGTAATGCATTTTTCAGTTTGGCAGATGAGGAGCAGCATGATCACATCAATGCTGAAAATTTAGGTCAAGCAACAATGAGGGGATACAAAAACTTTCAGTTGTGCTACAAATGCAGTAGTAGTTAAAGGTCACGATAAATATGATTGCAGACAACACGATAACAAAAAATGCCAGTAGTAGTTAGCGGTAATTAACACTCTTTGTATATGTCCCTAAAACCTTTAACGACATTGGTTCTAATGACACTTGACTAACGCTAGTTAAAAGTTTAACACTCTTTATTAATGTCAATATTTATTGCAGCTAAAAATTGTTTTTGTTGTAGTGAGCATACAAGAAAATAACAATGATAAGCGTATCTAGAGGGGGTTCTGTGGGTTCACGTGAACCCATGCTCCCCTCTCTAGTAGATTATATATAGTACCGTGTTATATTTTTGTTAGAATACTTAAATATAGATGTATGAACGCATGTTCAAAGTATCATATAAAAATATGATGATGATTGGGTGCACCTTTCTAAGTGATGATAGAAATTTAAATTTTATATCTATGTTTTTTTTTTTGAGTAACACCTCTCCAAGTCTTATCGGTAACACTTTTGACGTTTCAACTAAGTTTACTTTATTTTTTTGCTTTAGTCTTTCAAAATTCAAGAGTGTTACATTGAAAATTTCTTTAAAAATTATATAATTAAATCAAATATGTGTATTAAAATTTAAAACTAGTAATATTATGTATTTTGGACCTCTATTTAATGGTTCATATTACGAACCTAAAGGTCAAATATTTCAAATTTATATCTTAGATGCCTTTTTTCGTAATAATGCCTCCATCTTTAAGAATCCTGGATACGCAGTAGTCAAGTCAATGTGGAGAAGACGAATGTCCATTGCTAGGATAATGTTGACCTGCAAAACAAACAATTGTTGGATAATCAGGTCAGAAGAATGGCTGAAGACATAGTGAAGAACCTGAACCACTAGGTCGTGCTTGAATACCATCCTTTTCATTAGTAGTTTGCAACGAAAAATCCCTCATCTTATGACCACTCTTTCCACAATTGAAGCATTACCGACTAAGCAACTTTCTCGAGACGCCTTTTACAAGCGGAAATAGAAAATCTACTACCACCTCCACCTTGAGGTTTAGGGTTAGACACCCTATCTTTGTTGAATTTAGGAGCCAACACATTAGACGAACCTTGACAAAAATACTTTTGCCAGAATTAAGGACGACCATGTCCACCGAATCTAGAATGAGAAAAGTCACCATCACCGGTTCTTGCACTATTTGATTCCCTAGATTTATATTTTAATTTTTCCACTTCAATTTGTAGGCATCTATCATCAAATCAGAGATATCCATCTCTTTGATCAACATGACGATATGACACTCCTTGACCACCATTTCTGACACAGCCGACACGAATGCCCTAGAGCCCACAACCATAGTCGGAGCATACTTAACCAATTGAATAAAATTCAAAGCATAATGTTTCACACTCATGTTCCCTTGATGAATATTAACGAACTCAAGAACCTTCATGCCCCTTATCTCAAGATGAAAGAAACGATCAACAACATTCCGTTTGAATTTCTCCTAATCAAGAGGACTCGTCAATAATCCCTCTTCCTTCTATTGATTAAGACAAACTTGGGCAACAGTTTGAGTTAATAAACGACCAATTCCGCCTTCCCCACTGCTGAAAATCCAATAATTTTCAATATCTTATAAACCTCATCAATGAACTCTTGAAAATCCTCATCAACCTTCGACCCATGAAATTCTGGAGAATTCATCTTAGTGAAGTACCTCACCCTTATCAACTCCATACCCACACTCAGGTTCATGGGATCAATGGCCTCTCTATAGCTTAAGTCATCATAGCTTGATCAAACACTTGGAAAGTGGTTCAGAATTCGATATGAGTCACTTGCTCGGCCAAAGGATTGATCGACACTTGAGGATCCTCCGGCTCAATGTCATTAGGCATATTCCTTCTTGTGTTAGCTCTTTGAGAATGCATATCCTAAAAATATTGGACAAGATTTCGGAAAGAGACCTTTATAGAAATGAGCTCTATGACATGAGTTTTGAAGTTTTTCTAAACGCCTTGTAGCCCCTATTCATGAATGTGGTGCTTTTAACACTCATGAACAAGATTCTACTTGATGCGGCTTGTTAGACATCCTAAGTTATTTTTAAAACCTGATGCTTTGAATACCACGTCTGTCACAACCTAAAGTACACCCTAGAACATGAAAAATTGAACCTTGAAAGGATCTAAATAAGTTATTTGACATAGACATGACGTAATAAATTGAAATTAAAGAGATATATCCAATATAACTCTCAAATCATAAGATAACACAAACGATATTAACGAAGTACATAAGAGATACACAAAATACTACTAAATCTGACACAAGTCTTTCAAATATCATAAGAGTGGTTGAGACCTAACGTATACACCACATACAAGTCTGAAATGAAAGACATCTAAAGCAATAAAGGAACATTAATTGCCTTGTCCTCGGAGCATGACGACTCACCAAATCAAGTAGTCAAGCTGAGAAATCCTAACCTAGGCATGCCCGAGAGGAGAAGCGCCGGACCTTATATTATAAGACAATATAGGAACAAGTACGCATTAGTACATTAAATATCATTATTAAATGATTACAAGATAATTAACTAACCAATTTCATTATTAACCAATTCAGTATTTCCCCTCAAGCTGGATGTACTGAACGTATTCAAGAAGCCAAACTAGTCTATGAGGATCTCATGTTGAAATCTACCTTGTGCCTTTGTAAATAAATCTGCTTGTTGATATTTGATATTAATGTAGGAAGTCCTGATCATGCCATGTTGTACCTTTTATCAACTAAAATGAAAATTTATCTAAGTGTGCTTGCTGTGTGGTGATGCCAAAATTATATAGTTTTAATCATTATTTGTCTTACATTTATTATTTGTATTTGTCCCTTTTGAGCATGAATTTTATGGATTGTGTTGAATAGTTTATTTTATTTGTAGGAGAAAATTTGTATACAAATTAAGAAGTTTGGAGGTAAAAATGAATTCAAGATGAATGATTTTAGACGGAAATCAACCAGACAACTTAATGAATTAAACTCAATGTTATAATATATAAAACACATGATTAAGAATCAAAAAATTGAAATGTTATATGTTGGCTACATGTTAAAATTTGAATCAACAAAATCAAATTGAGACGACACTGTTCACGCGAAATCCTTTTGGATTTTGGGTTCCCAATTCATTTTGGAATCAATTTTTTTACTTAGGGTTTTCTATATCTATATATGATAACGATCAACTACACTTCATCCAAATCTAAACGTAAGCGTGTCGCTAATGAGTGTGAACCCAACTAAGAGTTGGGATCTATCCCACGTAAAGAATTCAATTAAGAAGTAAAAATGTGTCCTAATCATTTGTAGAAGTAAAGGTGTCGCAACATGAAAACACATCTCAAAGTTTCAATGATTAATTTCAAATTGGGAGGGGGGGGGGGGGAGGGGGAGGGGGATGTGGTAACCAATTTAAGACAGATTTTTAAATACGGGAAGTAAACAAGTAGATATTAAACCTTAGAATTGTGATCAGTTGAATATTGATTTCTCGTAGTAGGTGATTACTAGTTGCTTAAAGTTATTCAATCTCAATGGGTAGGCTAGATTTTTAATACAATAGTCATTTCTCAATCAATTCGAACCTCAACAAGCATAACACAACCAAACAACCCAATTCATTAATTAACCCTATCTTTTAAGCTGGGTTTGTAAAGACACAATCAAAA